TACCAACTTTAATGACTCTATGAACCACAATGTAGAAGTCCTGATTTGAGAGCCACAAGTCACCTATCTTAAAGGGCAAAGGAAGTTTGGGAATATCTGACAAGCATGAGGTATCTGTGGTTCCTGAGGGGTCTCCTACTCTTATGTGATGTGACCATGCCCAGGTGTGCAGCTGGCTCCAGCAGCAACACAACAAGGTCTTTATCTGAAGGTCTTTCCAGATCACCAGCAAACCTAAGTATTAGCTGGAGTTTAATGCCCCACAACCACTCACACACACAAAAATATCCACAGCCACAGACCCAGAGAAACTATCTGTCTAGATCTGGTGTGTATGCTATTTGCACTCCTATACCTTAACTCTTAACGCTGTCAAAAGAGAGCATTAGCTTAAAAAAAAAAAAAAAAAAAACACTCAGAAGAGTACAATAGACTCCAAATCCTGTGAAGCGAGTTAGATTAGGGTCAGATCAGTTAGATTAGAGAAAGACTGGGATCTCAATAAGCTCAGCATGACTCCTGTAAGCAAATTAGAAGCCATATGCAGAATGAAAGATGTATTTTGAATTGAGAATTCCTTCTTTAAATAGGTAAGGGCAAAACACTAGCCTCAAATACTTTGTTTTTGATGCATGTTCTGAACTCTTTGAAATAAAGTGAAAAGAGGTTTTTAAATTTAGAACAAAACAGTGCATCATACTTCAGTATGCTCAATTCCATAACATGACAACCTCCATGAAATTGGCAACTTACTGCCTAAAGAGAAGATTACTGCTAACAGAAGTGACAAGCTTGCTGTTCATATGAAGCTTTACCTAGCTTCCTTGATTATTTGCCATATCACTTTACCAAGTATTTTTATGGATATCTGAATTTTCCTGCCCTAACAAACGTATACTTTTATATTTTCCTTCTCACACTCTCCCTCCTAGGCCTCCCTCTACACTGTTATCAAATTTATCTATGAAGCATCTACCGAAAAGAAAACTAGTAGACAGGGATATTTCTGCGAGTGTGTTTGGGGAGCCTTTCCTTTAACTCACAATTCAGGATTTCTTCATAGCAGGAATCTAGAGCAGCAGTTTTCAAATCATTTGTTTCGTAGAAGGTATGACTTTATACAGCAAATTCTAGCCTGCTGACAAAGAACTGGCTTTATTTAACCACCTTCTGTGATCCACAGATTATTAAAGTAAATGAAATTTACAGAAATTACATTGTTTTATTAACATCAGCTTCTACGCGTGTAATGAATATTAAGGGTCTTTGGTGCAAGTCATCACTTTCTGGTTCCTGGAAAAAGGGGAGTCACTTTTCCAGGTAAACTATAACAAGTACAATCCTTTCTACCTACAGAGAAGGGAGGTCTGCTCAAGAGCTCCATGTCTTGTTCTACAGGAACCATAGGAAAAGCACACAGATGAGAACAGTTTTCTTATTCAGCTGACACTAGTGTTCAACTTGTGCATTCCCAGCTCTACCTGGAGCTCATGCACTCAGGTATAACTGCCTTTCCTCGCTCATTAAGCTTTCTTATTGCTATCTAGCTGCTATGTATTTTACTCCAAGTTTACAACAAAACGTGTTCAAGAATACTACACAAAAATGCTTTGTCAGCTTCTCAGAGCTTTGCTGTAAAGTCTGTGGGCTCACACTTGCACTTACTTAACAGTACCTGTGATATTTTACCTACAACTCCTAAAAATATTCCAGGACAGTGATTTCACGTAAATAAAGACCTAGATAGCATTCTTCATTGTAAATATTGCACAGAAAATGAAACATCAAATAGCAAGAATAGATGATAGCATTTATGTCAGTCTACAAATCTCATTAGGTTTGACATTAGCACAGATTTATAGCTTCAGAGGTTGCCAGTGTAGCCAAAAAAAATCCAGAGTGCAACAAGTTATTCAACAGTCAGAGGGCAAGAGATATATTATTCCACTCATGGCAAAATAGAAGCTCATGCATAGCACCTGCAACAAGATAAGTGTTTCCAGTCATTCATCAGCCAGGTGAATAGACTCAATGGTGGAGAGGAGTGCAGCAGCACAACAGATTGGCCATTTCTTGTCCCATATGCTTCAGAAATGCATTTTCTTCATAGCTAGTCACAGGGAATAGAAAACTACCACCTCACCTAACTACAGTGCTGGTCAGTGTATAAAAACTGAAGCTCTTAATCAGTCCCTTTTCCAGCCCTCCTGTTGCTGAGAAGGATGCTTCCAACCTACAGACTTTGCTCAAATCCAGACTTTATGTAAATCATGGTAAGAACAACACTATTAAGCACTGTTGATGAGGCTGCGCAGTTTTTGTAAACCCAGCCCTGACCTTTCCAAACTTGTTTCCCTGAATTTTCCAAAGTAACAGTTGTGGCTCCCCTAGATCAGGCCCTATGTAATTACGACCACCCCATAGTGGCAGCCGTGAAAATTTACACACCCCAAGTGGGAAAAGAACCTTCACTTGAAAAGTCTCTCTAAGTGACATGATTTTCAAAGATTTGCAGTGGTTATCACCAACTGTATCAGCAATGGTGCTACTTAGATTCATTGCTGTATCCACCTTCATCGCTGTTCATTTTTTCCCTGTTTTTGAAAGTCTAATCTCTGCAGTTTTTTCTTGGTGACAATTCCTGATTGCTTTCTCGGCTTGTTTTCCTTCTCTCATTCTGAATGGAAAGGGATCACTAAAGCCTTGCCATGATACTTTGCTATCAATAGTAACTATTTTGTTACTGATTTCTATTTCCATTCTGTAGAGTTCACATTTCCAGACCATTTGAAGGCTAAACGCAGTTTCACTTCCCCAGTTAAAGTATGTGTCTCCAGCCATAAGTGACTTACTAAATTCCTGTCCTAGTGAAAATCATTTTGGGAGAACTTCAGAGGCAAGGGCCCCCACTTACTCTCCCCACAAACAACAAACCAACCTACCCTCAACATAAACAGGCAACTCATACTCAGGTACACTGTAAGCAAACTCTTTAGTGATAGTTATTTTAATAATGTAAATAAATTAGATAGAAAGAACTCATTATTTAAAACATAAAGCTTTCTCCATTCATTTCCAAAACAGAGCTTTTTAATATCAATCCGCAAATGTGCAAATGGACTTTCCAAGATCTGTCTGTTCATCTAAGCGTAAGGCTGACGACTGATACAAGTCCAGGAAAAAAAAAAATCAAAATTTCTCAAAACTTGGCAAAAAGACCTAAGATGTGCTCAGCAGCACACTGAAGATGCAGAATAACAGCACACTTCACAGTCACCTGTGAAGGTTAAATTACTTAGCATCTTCCTGATACTTACTTTTAATGAAGCCCCTGGAGAACTTTTGATTTTAGCTGTTTTAATAGCTTTTATATAACAGTAGCGAGGAGCAGTCATAATTCAAAATATTTTCCCTATATTATGTTTAGATAGGTGGCAGTTAAAAACAAACACACACACACAAAAAAAAAACAAACAAAAAACATGAAATGCAAAGTCACCAGAGTTGTCTCAAACAAGTTAATGCTAACTCTCAAAGCATTCAAAAACTAGCCTCACTTACATTATTTTATTTTGCTCATGCTCCTCTGTTCAACTGACAAGGCTACGAATAAACAGGGATATTTGCCACTTACTGGAAGAAACCCCCAAACCTGCTTGCCAACTAGTATCATCTTTATTGGAAGCAAAAATCTTCAAAAAATATTGCATATTAGAGCTTTCAAATCATTCACAAGATTCAAAGTTTGGTGACTTTCTAGGGTATTCCTAGTTATAACAGGAAGCTTGACCTAAAAATGCACGAAGGTGGTTTGACTTCTTCGGTTTTACTGTTCACTGATTTGCTGCTGATTTGCATCTAGTATCCCCTAAACACTTGTCTTCTCCCCTTCTTCCCACCCTATCACTCACTATGCAACATGAGCAGCTGCCCAACATGTTTTTATTGCATTTCTTCACTTCGGGCAATACTTAGCTTCTCTCTTCCACCCAACCTGCAGTTCTCATAAAGCCCCAGAACTGAAAACTCCGTTTTCTTTATGACCTCTGACTGATTAGAATCGACTAACAGGTTCTACAGGCTGCAATCAAAAAGAAGGGAAGAGTGAAAAATGAGTAGAATGACAGCAGAATCACAACCCTCTCTCAAGATTTTGTCCAAAACCACTTCCTTTATTTGCAAGACTGCCTTGCCTTCTCAGATCCGAAACATTTATCATATTCCTAGTTTTAAAAATGTGAACTGCCCACTACAGTAAAGACTTGTTGAACTTCACAATGCTCTAGAATAAGAATTTTCTATTTCACTACAGTTCAGACTTTACAATTTCCTTACAATTTCCCTGTAATTTCACTATCCTCATCTTGTGATGGAATATTTTAATTGGGCTCTTCCAATCAAGAGATACTCCAGAACACCAGCATCTCATTTTTACACTAGAGTAATGGATTTTTTTTAAGAAAAAAAAGAAAAAAAGAAAAAATATATATCTTTACTTTGGAAAACAAACACGAAGTCAATACTCCTTTGGTTACACTGCTTTAACAGCTCAAAAGAAGAGAGAAGCCTCACCAAGTATTACATACTGGAAACTAGCCCACTGCTTCTGCTTTACAGATAGTCCAGTTAGGGTCTCATTCAGCACACTTTACGTGATGACTGGTGTGCCTTGTGCTTTGGGGACACGAGTTTTACTTTAACATTCCAGTGCAATCTGTTTAAGTTCCGCTTCCCCTTCGCCCCAGGAGCAATATTATTTCTCCTAGGTGCTGATGCAGTTTTAATACTATTTCAACTTTCTTTAGTTATAATACATGATTATTAAGTGAAGTAATCTGCATGTAACAAACAGACTGGGTATCTGTAATAAAGCTTAGCTGTTTCTCCTAACTAACCAGGCCCAAAGTTAAGATAGAGATATTCTATGTGTAAAATGTTCTAATAAACACAATACAGGAGAACACAAAGCCAAGGAGGACTGAAACGATAAGAGAGCTTACCTTGACTCTCCACTACTGTTTCTTACACTTTCTTCATCACTGTGCCCATTCATTGTAAATATTTATAAGTTTAAAAGGCAAATGAAAGTCCACTCAGGTTACAACGTGGATGTCAAGACTTCACTTCCTGGTACTCTGCGTTTTCTGGGTGATGTGTTTGCTCTATTGGTCTCTGCAGGTATTCAAGATTTCTCCCAAAATACCTAAAGCAGTAAAGGAAAACATTGACACAATCTGAAATACTTGGTTTCAGCCAAGAGACACTGAAAACAACCTGGCTTGTCACACGAATACTAGGAGGAGGTACTTATCCCATTCGACTTCGATCACCCAAGAAAACCTTTTTCCTGTGAACTATGAATAACAGCAACAACAAAAAAAAATCTTAGAAGAGATATTTTCATTAGCTATACTGAAATAGAGAAATGAAATAAATGAAACGCATAAGGGGAAAGACCTGTCTATCTTTTTGCCTGCTGCTGTCAAGTCCCAAGACAGCCCATGTATGTTCCTCTCTTCACCTTCTTGTCAAAGGGGCCACACGGGTGACCCTTTCTGCAGGCCCACTAGCCGCAGGCAGCCGCACGCCCCAGCCTCAGCCCGGGGGGCTGGCGGGGTGAGTTACGTGATGCCCGCGCTCCAGCCGACGGCAGCGCTTTCGCCACAGCAGTGGCCTCAGGACAGCTCGGCGCGGCCTTCAGAAGGGAGCAGCCCCTGCACGCACCGGGATGCAGGCTCGGGTTATTAACGCCCTGCTCAGACGGGCTCGATGAGAAGCGTTTCCCGCACGAGCCGCGCGCACGGGGAGTCTCTCCAGAGCGCGACGCGCAGCTTTCGCCCGACCGGCGTCGGCGAGAGAAAGGCTGCCCCATTTCCAAGAAACCTCTCGGGGCACCAGAGCTACGATCCCGCCCGGGGGAGGAGGCAGCTCCAAGAGCGCCCTCGGCCCGGCGCGGAGCGCAGCGGAGCCGGGGCCGCTGCAGCAGCGCCGCTCAGGGCCGGCC